GCACAAATGTGGCATTCCACCCCCAGCACCACAAAATATGCTAATACAGGGAAGCTAGGATCCATTCTGAAAAGGATGGAAGTTGACCACCATCCAGGCCTGCTCTGCCTCCCACCATCTGCAATATTGCTGCAGCTGTGGCTCCTGCTGTAAAGGCAAGACTCTGATGGGAAGGGGAGATTGAAGACTGTGATGGCTGGGAAAGGGTCTTTTCTGATAGGAAAGAGGGGGACCCTATTGTGTGAAAGGAGGGAGCTTTGACGAGAAGGGTGTTCCTAGTATGAGAAGAGGTAACTGCGATTGAAAGGAGGGGGCTCTGATATAAAGGGGGCTTCTAATGTAAAAAGGCTAGCAAGGGGGAGGGGGTCCGATATGGATGTTGGAGAAACCAAGTGTCAGTATTTACATTGTAGATTAGGGTGCTCTAAGATTTTGCATACTTTTTTAGAGGGCCGTGAATATCCATGGTGATCAGAACCCCCCTTAATCCCCTCTTCTCACTAGAGAACAAATTCATTTCAGCTAATCTTTCCTCCGATATGGTCTTCCATGCCTTTCATCAGTTTAGTTATCCTTCTCTGTACTTCCACAAGATCATTACTGGGAAATGGTGTCCAAAACTGAAGTGCATATTTCAGAGGTCTGAGGTCTTCCTAATGTATTGTTAGGGGGTAAGATTATGTTTTCTCTACACCACTTAATACAAGAAAGTATTTTACTGCTTGCTTTAGAAAGTGCAGCTTGGCATTGCATGCTATTAGGCCTACGGTTTACCAGAACACCCAGATCCTTCTTGATCATTGACTCCCCCACAGTGGGAAGAATTCCCCCCCACTGCATTGGTGGTCAGTGGAAAGAATTCTCCTCTTTACAGTGGTGGGCTGAATGCAACCTATATAGACAGTGAAAAAGATCATTAGTGTCATGCCACTGCACTAAGTGGCACTGGATCTGTCTCTGCATGCTCTCTCCCCCGGCTCTCTCTCCTCTCCCTCTCTTCTCATTGGGCCCCCCATGGAAGAAGTGGCCCCCAGGTTATTTGAGTTTGAGACCCCTGCTATAGACCTTAACTTACATTTTCACTTAGGGGTGAACTCACTTTTGTTGCCAGCCGTTTAGACTGTGCGTCGAGTTATTTTGAGGGGACAGCAAATGTATACTAATATACAAGCTGTACACTCACTACTTTACATTGTAGCAAAGTGTTATTTCATATGTCATCACATGAACTCGTATAATAAAATATTTATAAAAATGTGAGGGGTGTACTCACTTCTGTGAGATACTGTATGTTTTCTAGCAAAAACTCATCTATGTGGTCAATTATCAAACTCAAGTAGCTTCCAGACTATAGAAGTTATGCTTAGAGGTCTGTAATTACTTGGTATATTTTCAGTATCCAGTGCTGCGGTACTATGAGGTTCATGCAACGCTGTACTGAAATGATTTTTATACCATATTTTGGTGACAGAAAAACCTTACTTTGGTGGTATTCAATCACTACTGTGGTTTTTATTTTTTACTATATCAAGGTAAAATTAGCGAAGATTTTGGAAAAAAAAACACTTTCCCCTATATTAAGTTTTGAAACATTTATTACCCAATTTTTTGGTAAAATATAAAAGATGGGGTCAGGTCTGGTAAATAGACAAACATGTCAAGCCTTAAAATTGCGCATGCCCAAAATTGGGTAATACCCAAAATTGCCCAGAGGCGACAACTTAAAAGCGTGTACCGCTCATCAGTTTAGTGTGATCAGTACTTATGTTTATATGTGCGTATACGTGAGAGTGGGGGACCATTTTAGGGGGTTTTTAAAAAAAAATTTTTTTTATATGCGACTGACTTAGAGAACTATGAAGTGAGTGCTTTTCCCTCAACTCATAGTTCTAGCCGACCTGTGACAACGAGACTGTCACAGGTCGGCTTAGTAGATCGGGAGGTGAGCGAACACATACCGGCGTTCGCTCACCTCTCGTTCCTGTCACGGCTCTCTGCCGTGACATGAGAGGGCTGGATTCCCCCCTCTGCCAGTCAACGGACGGGGGAGGGTACAGCTGGCTCTGCCTCTAGATAGGCAGAGCCAGCTGTCAGTCACGCAGCTGCGCGGATCCAGACAGAATTGTCGGGATCCGCTTCAGCTGCAGCGTCTCAGTATACCGCGAGCTGTAGCTCGCGGTATACTGAGCCTAGGTTGACGGGAGGACTCTAGTTTGTATGCTCCCGTTACCCTAAGGAGAACTATGGGGAAAAGCCTTAACCCCATAGTTCTCCTTTTATGTTATTGCTTTCACATAGGGGACTAATAATCCCCTTGTGATAACACAGGTTATAGCAGCCAGAGAAATGACAGCTGAGTGTGGAAGTGAGGTAATACACACCACTTCCGCATTCAGAGATCGGAGAGGAGATCAACAAATGGAACACGGCTGACCTCCCTCCAATTTTTATGCCAAGGGGGGGACAGCGGAGCCTAGCATTAGCGGTTGCGTCGCGGGGCACACACTGCTGGGTACTAAGCAAATGGACAGCTACAGAGCCGCCAAACGCTTGTATATGTAACGGCCGTTTACACCTGTCAGTGTGTTCTGCTGGGGCTCACTCAAGCAGAAGAAAAAAAATATATGTTTATTTATGGCGTCCCGCCGGAAGGAGCTTGCCGTCTAACCATTTATTTACAACAGGCAGACAGCAAGTAGTTAGAGTCCTTAAAAATAAAAAGCAATGACTCCACGATAAAAGAGCTTGATTCTTTGAGGACAGGTGGGTGTAAGCAATCGGCTCCTAGGGACCAGATGACAACAAGCAAGCGATACATAAAAGTAGAAAAGGGGAGTCTAGGTTAAAGGGGCTAAGGCAACAAAAGAACCATATGCAACTCAAAAAGTCACAGGAGGAACTACATGGGTAACCCCCTACGCAGAGCTTATGAAGGAACTAGCGGACATGAATAAGAGCTTAAGTGCTGGGAGGTATCCCAAATGGTACTCAGGTGTAAATGTTGTCACATCCGACTGTATAGAGGTCAGGTACAAATTTTGATTCAAAGATTCCTGACTTGTTTACAGTCAGATGTTGTAAGTATTTCCTAGTGTGAAAAATACTTCTCTTGGACCAACTGAAGCATGCTGTCTATGTGCGATGGTAGACCTTTGTGGAAACCTCTGTACCATTCAAGACCTAATGCTCACATCACAGGAATCACCATTCTGTCTGCCAGAACCAGGGGTTCGACAGCTATGCTGTGAAAGCCAGTGACCGCAAAGCTAGAAAGCAAATTGGTCCACGGGTCTGAAAATCTAGTCTGGGATAGCCCACAAAGAATCCATCAGTACTCTGGCATGTCGGAGTATCACAGCTGCCTGGGCCGAGTTTAACCATAAGGATCACCACAATGCCCTCAATCTCAAGGAAGGAGTTGAAGACCAGGAAGGGTGTAGAACAAAAAGCTCCCCAAAGAGGACAGAGTACTCTTTGGGGAGCACACAGTACTTGCCCATTCATAATATGGCTGCCAGTGCCTGCCCCTGACAGACATGTGGCCAGTGAGACACAGGCTGTGTAGATGTATAGTGGTAGTGGTGGGGCCACCTAAGGAGAGACACTAACAAATAAGCGCACTGCAAGCCAACTGCTCACAGCACATGGGGGACAGAGGGGAAAAGGGGTACCAACAGACCACACCAGGCCACATAGGAGAAGGGGGAAAGGAGGGTGTTCATTACTTACCACGGCCCAATAGGATAAAAGCAAGGGTACACTCCACATGACAGGTCACTTCTCACCAGAAAAATGGCGATGTCTGCCTGAAGAGGTACTGTGACAAAGCAACCAAGTCACTCGGTGACATGTGCCCCCTGTGGGAAATACTCGCAAGCTGCGCTTAAATCCAGTAACAGGGCTGCTATAGACGACCCCACACGTAGCAGTTACTGATAATGGTGTGGTTATAATTAGCATTTGAAAAATGGAGCATCAAAATAATAGGAATAGTTGTAGAATATTACACAATTCAATATGGCGGTCAAACTATGTTATCAATTGACTTGTAGTGATCAGTTCTGAGTGTAGATCACAGCATAACTTTACACAGCAATTTGTACATCTGTAGCTTTAGCTACAGTTTCTGAGAAACAGATGTTTGAATATGGAGCTGAATATTGTTACCTAAAACAAAATTGCTGCCAGGGAATGTGACCTATGGCCTTTATGATGCAAAAGATTAGGCACAGCATAGAACTCTACAATTGGGCCAAGTTGCATACATTTCTGAGTAACGGTGTGCTTATTACAGGCTTTTGAATAAAAGGCCTTAATAATAAAAACAACAACACTATCTCAAAATCATTGGCTTGCAGCGGCCATATTGATTTTAGGAGTGGACCTGTTTTTACAATTGTGGTAGAAGAGGTTGCCCTGGACATATGTGCAAAGTTTTGAATAATTTTTTGTTAAATGATTTCAGAGATTAAGTTTTTTGCAGAATATTGCACAATCCAATATGGCTGCAAAACCATGTGACAAATATACTTATAATGAACACCTGAGACACTAGAGCACAGCATAACCTCACACAGCAATTAGTACATCTAAAGCTTTAGCGGTTCTGGAGAAGGTTTCTGAATAGTTGTCGTAAAAATCAAGATGGCTGCCACATCATGTGACCATTATATTGCAATAAGGTCTGCAGAGCATATGGCTCTACAATTGTACAAACTTCAATGAGTTTTTGACCAACGTTGCACTTATTAGCCATTTCAAAAAAGCAGCGGAATAATATTAATCAGAACAAAAACAATAGGTGTTCTTTGCAACTTCGTTGCTTGGCCACCTAATAATGAAACCATGTGCCCTAAATGGATTCTTAACATTGGGGAAGAAAATGGGAATAAATCCTAGCTGTAATGGGAGGACACCATTATGGGTTTGCGATAGGGAATAGAAAATTTTCTCTCTCTCAATTCTCACGTCGATAAGAGTCTATAATAAAGATTACTTACGTATACCAAGGACAGCAATCTACTGGATCTTTCAAATTGGCGCCAGTGAGCCCTGAACATGGCATAAAGTGAATATCTTTTTTCGGATTGAAACCAACTTTCTTCAAGAAGGGCACAAGCTTTTCTTTACATTCTTCATATCTTAAAAAAAAAAAAAGGTAAAAATGTTAGCTGCCTGAAACATGTTATCAGGTAAACCATACATAAGTTATGTACCAAAGTAGGATTTCTAACTTTACAGTAAAATTTGTTTCTTGGAGTACAGTACAGGACACAAACAATTCAGAGAAGACCGGATAACAAAAGGCATCAACCAGGAGATTGGACACTGGCCATAGCTGTGAAGAACCTCATATCACATGTGTCTTGTATTTTACTCAAAGAAACAGATTTTACTGGCAAGACAAAAATCCTATTTTCTTGATCATACAATACAGGACACAGGCAATTCAGAGGTGACTGGGATGTCCAAAAGCAATGCAGTGAGGTGAGAGCAACAGCAAAACAAGTACTAACAGGCCCTACAACAGCACAGAAGGGGAATCCAACTCAGATGGCAGCCTGTAGCACCTATTGGCCAAAACTCACATTACCAGAGGCACAAACAGCCATTAAACAGAACTTAGTGAATGTGTGAACAGAAGGCCAGGTGGCTTTGCGAAAGAACAATGTCCTCATTAAAGTGGAAAGAGGAGACCAAATTAAGGGGAAAAAAAGAAACATGTGGTTTAAGAACTACCTTAACCTTGTGTAATGCAAGAAACAAAGCTCCGGCCGGGAGCTCTCTAGATCTGAGCGGGTGTCTTTAGACGTCCGCTCAGACACGCACGAGCGGGAAATGGCAGCGATGCCTGTTGACATACAAGCGATCCGTCGGCTGTACAGCCGGCGGATCGCTTGTATGGGGTAAAGATCGGTGTGCCGCTGATCCCGGGCTCCGCTGTGCCAGGTGCGAGCCCGGGATCAGCATGGCGCCTGTATCATAGGGGATCAGAGGGAGATTGTTACACGAGCTCCCTCCGGTCCCCTCTCCTCTGAAAGAATGCAGAAGTGTTGTATATTACATCACTTCCGCATTCTTGTGTCACTCTCCAGCTTCAGAAGCTGATGGAGCAGATCTGTGCTTCGCCAGCTTCTTTTGGGGGGTCCTAGGTGGCATTAGGGGTCTTGGAGATCCCTGATGTCTCCATAAAGAGGACCGGTCACATATTTGGCTAACACATAGGGGGGTTTTATTAGCCCACGTATGTGATAGCAATAAAGTTTAGTGGGAAAAAAAAAAGAAAAAAAAATGAAAGTCCCCCCCCCAAAAAATGTTTTACGTTACACATAAAAAAGAATTAAAAAAAAATGCGTGCAAACATGTGTCGGGGGAGCATACGTGCAAAAAAAAGACGATTGCGCCCATTACACCGCACATGTTACATATCGCCGCGAACGTCGGAGTGAGAGCAATAAGTCAGGGCCATCAATCACTGATAACACTAAACTGATGAGCGGTAAAAGCTTTTAAAGTGTCGCCTATGGCCAATTTTGGGTATGGTAGTTTTCTGCGATGTAGCGGGTGCGTGCAATTTTAAAGCTTGGCATGTTTGGTGTCTAATAACCCGACTTGACCCCGACTTTTATATTTTACCAAAAAACTGGGTAATAAATGTTTCCCAACAATGTAAAAACACATTTTCAGTAATTTTTCCTAATTATGGTAAAAAATAAAACCCGTAGTGGTGTTTAAATATCACCAAAAGTAAGCTCTATGTGTCCCAAAAAAATGGTATAAAATTAATTTCAGTACAGCGTTGCATGACAGAATAAACGTCAGTCAAAGTACCACAGCGCTGAATACTGGAAAATGGCCTGGCCAGAAAGGGGGTCTAAACACCTGGTCTTGAAGTGGTTAATCAGAGAAGGTGAAGCTAGGAGTCTTTTGAAAAAGCATGGCTGGCCAAAATCTGAACCTTGACTGTAAAGGACAACCGCGGATCCAGACCAGATTAGAGAAAAGCCACGGATCCAGACCAGATTAGAGGAAAGCCAAAGTCCAACCCACTGAGTAAGAGTGAGGATGGAATTTCCGCTGCTCAAGTGAAAGCAAAACAGACCTTATAAGTACCATGGTAGACCTTACAAGAGGTGGACTTTCTGGCCTGGAAGAAAGTCGGAATGACCAAGTCTGACAGACCTCTATCCCTTAAGAAGCAGGCTTCAACAGCCAAACCATAAAAGCCAGCGACCTATAAGCAAGATGCAACAGAGCCTGAGACAAACGATCCACGCAGTCTGGAAACGGCCATGAAGAATCCGCTAACAGGTGCCACACTTTTTGGAGCCACCAGGAGCAGTGGGACTGATTGTGTCTCAAACCTGCAGAGCAGATGAGGAATGATCTTCAAGAGAATGCATAGATCAGATAAAAATCTCTCTCTCTCTCTCTCTTTATATATATTCATCTCTCTATCACTCAATGCATAACAGACACATGCGCCTATTCAATCCAACAGGTAAGTGAATATAGCTTAATGAAACAAATCAATTTGTCAAGTTAACAAGTCTCCAACTATCAGGGGGATTCCACCACTATGCCACAAATGCTTTAATGTTAATTCCTTCCAAGGGAAACCCTAACCAATCCTCGTGATGGCACTCTTAAGAAAGCGTCTCACCTGACCATAAGAACACTCAAAGCAGCCAATCCCTTTCGTCCTCCAGCCAGTGGGATTACAACTGTTACTTTCGGTTAGCAATTGGATGTGATCCTCCATATCGGTAAAAGCTCTTGCAAAGAATACAATGAAAAACATAGTACACACCGCAGATAAAAACAGAACGATTAAAATATATTCACATAAAAACGATTAAATAATGAATGTTATTTCAAACAGCTAGAGTCACAGATCCTAGAGACGCACTGTTCCTAGACTCTGCCCTACGCGTGTTACGTCTGCAAAGACTTTGTGTTGCTTAGATTAGATGCTAAGAGTTCCACATCCGGCATCCCCAAATAGCAGCAGATCTCCTGAAGAGCATTGTGGTGGAGACATCTCCCTTGCATCCAACGTTTGTCTGCAGAAATAGTCCGCCTGTCAACTGTTCACTCCTTATGGATATGAATATGGATTGCGGACAAGGCTGGAACATATATCTTTCTGCTCAAGCAGACTCATCTGCCTTCCTTCGCGCTGCTCGATTTCTGGTTCCTCCTTGATGTTTGATGTAGGTCACTGTCGTGGCACTCTTAGACACCTGAATGGGTAGACCCTGGAGGAGATTCATCGAAAGAAGAGACAAATTATTCTCTGCTCCAGAACAATGATAGAGTCTCCCATCATGTCTGTGAGGAGCAAGCTTTCATGAGCAAATCATCCAGGTAACCTAAAATGTGAACCCTGCCCCGAGACTTCAACAGTGCAAAGATGGGGGCCAACACCTTGGTAAAGACCCTGGGTACCATGGAAAGGCCAAAGCGCAAAGCTATTCAAATGATAGAAAATGTTGATGGGGAAGAACGAGGAACATGCAGGTAGGCATCCTTGATGTCCACGACACAATCATTTTCCCCCTGATGAAGAAAGGCAATGACCAAAGGAGCCAGGCGGAACGTTCGAACCCACAGATACTGATTCAGAACCTTCAGTTCTAGAATAAGGCAACCCCCTGCCTTCCCTGTTAGGCTTCGGCACTATGAATGAATTGGAATAAAAGCTGAGGAAGTGGTCCTCTATGGGAACATGGGTGATGACTTTTGAAGTCGGTAAATGCTGTAAGGTACAACCTAGAGCTTCCCAACCCAGGGGAGAAAGAGGGACATTGGGAGACATGAAACAGACAGGACACATGGAAAACTACAGTTTGTAACCCTTGGAAACAGTGTAGTGGACCCACATATTCTGTATTTTCCGCTCCCAAACCTCTGCAGAGGCCAACAGACATCTTGCCACTCGCACAACTGAGGGTGCCCCTTCCTTTGCCACCTGTCTTGCAATTCCAGGGCTTGCGTTTGAATTGGTAACAGTGTCTGGCCTAGAGGTAGAGGCCTGGGGCTGACAAAAGGCACTCGTCTGAGACGGGTCCAAGGAAGGTTTTGAGTGCAGAACCTTCCTGCCCAGACATGTCTTACAAGCAGGCTCCGCAGAGCACTAACGTAAGGTAGTACTAAACTGTTAAACTTTTCAATAAACCTACATCAAATATGCATTGCCCAGCAAAGTATTTCCTACATTTTTTGTCCAACCACATAAAGTAATCATATTTCTAAACAGCTCCAACTCTCAGCTCGACTTCTCTGAACTTCCTGTTGAGTAGAAGCTCACAAGAAACAGCACAGTCTCCAGCAGCTGTGCATCTACTAGCCTGGAGAAGGGGAATGACTTGCCTTGCTATGCCTGTGTGTTTGTAGAGACACACAGATTACTAGCACACACAAAGGTGGGTCTGTAGGACAGCAGAACAAAAAGCTGCCACTGCCAAGACAGACTAAAGGGGGAGGAGGACTGCGCTTGAATCCATTATGACTAGATGCACCAATCATAGCAGATAGCTGACCCATGAACCCAGACAGATGCTGCAAATTCCTCCCTACGGAGGCAAAAAACCCACCTGCCCCACAGCAGCTCAACAGCTAGCTACTTCTGAACCCCTCCCCAAGTGCCCTTGTGCCTTTTATGAGCCACAGCGAGGGTACCACATGGTTTCTCACAGCCAGCACCAAGGGTTGAACAAGGGTCTCTTCCGTTGTCACAGCTGTCTTGGCACCCAAATGACACAGCCTGCTCGCAGAAGCCATTGGGTTTGAAATCCGACACACACAGCAGCTCCACAGCACGTGTTCCCACTTAAGATGGCTGCCGATGCAAAGCCCGTACTGAGCATGCTCCAAGATGGTACCTGCACCTTCTACTGAGCAGGAACCAAGACAGCCAACGGAGTACTAATATGGCCGAGAAGCACCCCTCCAGCCTCTTTAGGTGGCTGTGGCATTCAATAAGTGATTTATGCGCAGCGCCCCAATTAATAACAAATACAAGACATTGAAAGCACTTCACTAATTTAAAAAAACACCACAATAATGACCAAAACAGTAAAGCTAAATAGGAGTCAAATTGTACATAAAAACAAATATCCATTACATAAATAAGACAAGT